TGCCATGCTAGGGTCTGCATTTGGCAGGGCCTGATAGGCTAGTCATGAGGTAGTATGACAATACTGCCCTATAGGAATTTTCGTGATGTATGCATGATACCCTCGTGGACAGGACCAGATGGGGCATAGTTAGTGTAAGACAATTGTGTTTTATTACCCTATGTTTACTTTTTCCCCTTGCCCCTAAGACCGGTTAAGCTACGGTCAAATGAGGCTTATCTGTAAATTTAGCTAGGCGTTATCTAGTTATGCTTACCTCCCTATTTTCTTGGTGCCTTTGAGTTCCAGGATGCCTATAAGGTTAAATTCCATTCACAAAAACTGCATTGTGCTTTCCATGCTCCTCTGAGTATCTGGGTTTTGTGTGAGGGGCCTTGTGTGGCAGGATGGGCTATACGCGAAGGCCGTGGACAGAAAAAGCCTGCTTTACAACATTGTGCAGTTTCCCCCCAAGGAATACACCCTAGTAAAGGACCGGAGTGAAGCACGTGTGATAAGTAGGGCCTTGCCCTGGTTCTCTCAACAGAAGAGAATTTTACCATTTATACATAATGTTTCCTTGGATACAAAGGTGCCATTTTGGGAGGGTTGGATGGGCAGCAGCCATGCACTCCAGGACCTGGCTGGCTTTTCATCCCGTTCCCCAGGTGCTAAAGGAGTGAGCACCTGCATTCCCGTGCATGCCAGCCAGGTGTGAGAGGCATGCACAGAATGCAAGCACTTTCTCCTCACTCCTTTAGCAGCCGGGGAACGGGATGAAAATCAAGCCATGTCCCGGAGTACATGGATGCTGCCCCTCCTATGTGCCCGAAATGGTGCCCTTGTTTGGATAATTCCTGAGACAAGTGCTGTGTGTTTTTCTTAAATGTGACAACTTCTGCACACCTGTTTCTAATGGTAAGGAGCAGCCAACTATTTGTCAACAACCTGTTCTTGTTTTGGTGTTAAGTGCACTGAGTAAATATGTGATGTAGTAGCATAAACACAGAAAGGTAGTGATTGCACAGGTGGTTTTATCACTTAGGCTGTGTCTAGACTACATGGCTCCGTCGACGGAGCCATGTAGATTAGAGTTGTAGGCAAAGGCAAATGAAGCCGCGATCATTTAAATCGCGGCTTCATTTACATTTACATGGCTGCCGCGCTGAGCCGACAAACAGTTGATCAGCTGTTTGCCCGCTCAGAGCGTTAGTCTGGACCCTCCCCTGCCGACATCAAAGTCCTTTGTCGGCAGCCCCGTTATTCCTCGTGGGGTGAGGTTTACCGGGGCTGCCGACAAAGGGCTTTGATGTCGGCAGGGGAGCGTCCAGACTAGCGCGCTGAGCGGACAAACAGCTGATCAGCTGTTTGTCGGCTCAGCGCGGCAGCCATGTAAATGTAAATGAAGCCGCGATCATTTAAATTGCGGCTTCATTTGCCTTTGCCAAAAAAACAAATCTACACGGCTCCGTCGACGGAGCCCTGTAGTCTAGACATACCCTAAATAAAAAATATAAGATACATCTCTTTTTTTCTGCAGAGTAGGGAATGCATCCTGCAAACATGTTCCAACTCCCTCACACATAGCCTAAAACTATGTGTGAGCTTTTGCAAAGTGCATCCCAAGTGCTGTGTTTACCTTCATAGTATCGAATTAATTGCTTCATAAAGTGTTTTGGGATACCTAGTTGTGAATGGTGCTATGTAAACACAAATCCTATTCTGTGTGGTCTAGAAAGAGCTTGTTACAGTTATGTGGATTTGTCACCCTTAAAATATTTCCTTTTTCTTTATATCTGAGCAGTTTAGGTATGCTGATTGGCTAGATATAATTCTGATGATAATAGGCTTGATTGCAGCTGCTGCAAGTGGGGTTGGGTTGCCATTGTCAATTGTTTTCTATGGAAAGATGACAGACAACTTTGTGATGACTGGCCAGCTAATAAATATGACTTCAGGTAAAGAGAGTTATTCAACTGCTGACAATATTTGTTTGGGTCTCTCGTTCTTTGGATTGGCATACGTCCAAGACACAGTGCTCCAGTCGGTTAAAAACCCTGAAGAGCATATTGAATACTGAGCAGTCCTTCCTTTTTAGTACAGTTGGAAAACAGATGCTTGATATATTACAGAGCTGCGCATTTGGTATTTGTAAAATTATTTACTACTTTCTATAGGTTATAAGTAGGATTTGCTGTTTCAGGAAGTGACCAAAGCAAGTTGTGTTATTGGATTTTTTGGACAATAAAATAGGACCAATAATATTATTTTGCCTCGATATGAGCTAAGTGTATAATAAGGGCAAATGTAACTTAAATTTTAGGCTATGCACTGACACCCTTAGAAGGGGTCTCTTATTTCTCCCAGGTTTGAATAGTGTTGCACATTTGGTTAGGTGCATTATTAGTGCCTTTTTGCAGATAGCCAGCAAAAGGTTAAGTCACCAGTTGGACTCCACCTGAGTCCAGTTTTGAGGCTTGGGTTGAACTTAAGTGGTGCAAAAAAGACGGCCTTATGGTGTCCTCTGCTTGGATTATTTTTTCCTTATGTGAGGTAAAAGGGGGAGTTTTCACTTATGAAAAATAAGAGATTGGTCACTGTGGCAAGGAGAAGGATAGACCATCAGAAGGTATGATCTGATCAGTTCCCATTGATGTAAAGAGTTAAATCCATGACATCACTCCACAGTAACCCTCTGAGAGGACTCAAAAGTTCCCCGTTTCATCCTCTACTGGATGTAAAGTTATATATTTCCTGAGCTGTTCAGGGAGTGTTATGTCATGCAAAATACCCATAAGTTCATGGCCTAAAATCACCATGATTTTGTTTTATGCATGTTCTAGCAAAACTGAATGTTTTTCTTGTTACAGTTAATCTTTCAGCAATGACTAGTTCTGTTTGTCCAGCAGCTCCAGGTTTTGACATAGAAGCTCAAATAACAGCGTAAGAACCTCTGCAATTATTTTCATAAGAATAGCATGATGTAGTTTCCATATTTTATTTTCCAATAAACTGAGAGCCAAATTCAGCCATCTGTTACATCTGATTTGCTTCAGAAGGGTTGTGTTGGAGGTAAAAGGAGATAAAATTTGACCCTCTGTGCGTAATTTCTCTTGCAAGATGCACTTGATCTTACAGATTTTTACTGTTTTACTACAGGAATGCTTATTACTATATTTGTCTCGGCTTTGCTGTAATGATACTGAATGCCATCCAAGTCTGGACATTTTTTACCTCCGCTGCAAGACAGACTGCAAGAATCCGACAAAAGGCTTTTTTTGCAATACTTTACCAGTAGATGGCTTGGTTTGATACTAGCCAGACTGGCACACTAAACACCCAACTAACAGAGTCAGAAGGCTCTATTTATCTATGCACCACAAACATCAGAGCCAAAAAGAAGACTGATGTTTTCCTTTATATAATTAGCTATAGGGAGTTTCCAGGAAACCTTTTTAACGAAGAGGCAAAATATTACTGCTGCCTGAGGGAGGAATTAGTTATCACTCACTCAGGGGTTCTCAAACTTTGTGGTACCGCGACCCCCCTCCCTAAGTTGCTCACGACCCCCTGGGGTGTCGGGACCCACAGTTTGAGAAACGTGAACTTAACTTCATTTTCAGGGTTTCAGTGACACATCCATGGCAAGGACTTGTGAAATGCAAAATCTTATTCATCTGACATTAACTTTGTAGGATTTACGAGCTACTTTGCAAACTACTATAGATAAACAAATGGTCCTGCAGCAACTTAGCCTCACTGTCTAGACATACCTTATTTCGGAATATTGGAAGTATCCCGAAATAGCTACCCTTCAACTTTTAAATGTGCCTGTTGTTTCAAAATAGATTTTGACGTAATGGGCACACTATTTTGGTATCCCTGTAACCCTCATTCCATGAGGGTTAAGGAATGTCTCAAAATGGCATGTTGTTTTGAAATTTGGTGCTGTGTACACACCAATTTTGAAATAAGCTATTTCAAAATACAAATATTTTGAAATAGCTTATTTCAAAATTTGTGTCTATACAGCACCAAATTTCAAAATCATATAGCACAAATTGCATATTTATTTCAAGTTAGGGTGCTGTGCAGACGCATCGTTAGAGACTAACAAAAAATGTAAATGGTATCATGAGCTTTTGTGGGCACAACCCATGTCTTCAGATTAATGTTTTAAATTAGGGTGTGCAAATTTTGTATCTTATTTTGATTGTATTTTGAAATAACGTGCTATTTCAAGACATCCCTGTAACCCTTGTGGGTTGCCAGAATAGCACACTCCTTATTTCAAAAAATATTTTGAAATAATGGGATAATTTAAAAGACGTGGGGTAGCTATTTCGGAGTACCTCTGGTATCCTGAAATAACCCCGGTGCATATACGCACCCTTACAAACTATCACAGCTACCCTTCTGAGACACAGGTAAATAGCTCTGCTGTCTCCAGTTAATTTACAAACACTGAAAACCCAGACACTGTTTGAAATTAAACTTCACTCATATTTATGAGCAGTATATTCTCATTTTGAAACTGATCCAAACCAATTAAAATTAGGGATCTTTGGATCAGTTTGGATCTTCATGCAGGGATTCAGAGGAAGGGTATGCAGAGTTTCTCCAGATTTAATTTTTGCAGGTCAGGATATGCCCAGATTATGGAAGATGTGAATCCTGAAGAGAATGAGAGTCTTGAATTTCACCAATCCCTACCTCTCACATACGTAAATAGGAAGAGAAAATTAGTAGGACACACAGTGGCCTACAAACAATATTTTACTAACACTTTGCATATATAGGATGCAAAATGGAGATGTCCTTTGCCTCAAAGATCTTAGTCTACTAGCACAATTGAAGATGACAGCAGGCACCGGAGAACTCAGAGGAAAAAGTACTGTAAAGGTTATTGGAGTAAATTTTTGGTTTTCTATGGGTTATTCCTTTTGGGTATTGTACAGTGAATTGAGACACTTGTGAATGAGAGGGGATAGCAATGACAGAAATGTTTCCAGAGGTTACATCACCAAAAATGAGCTGTGATCTGTTAGTTCCTAGCCCCACAAAGAGCTGTATTACTGCTGTTTAATACTCACGTTCACAGTTCCTACTCCTTAAAGATATGAGCAATTAACTTCTGACATTAAGTCTCTCTCCAGGAAAACAGAAAAATGTGTGAGGAGGAAGCATTCATGAAAAAGCATTTTTAAAAAAAATTTACAGAGATATTAACACCATCCATGATGGAATCGGAGACAAGATCAATATATTTGTACAATACTTTTCCATTTTTCTGACTGGGATTATTGTAGGATTTGTTTATGGGTGGAAACAGACTTTGGTGATGTTGTCAGTTATTCCTTTCACTGCTGCATCAATAGTAGTTAGGTCAAATGCAAGTGCCAGGAAAAAATAACTAATTCTACCTCTAAGAAACAGATTGGGGAAGGGTGAGTGATGGGGAGAGGGGTGGGAAGGAGAGGGTAGAGGACAGGGAGTGAATCCCAAAGCAACATGACCACAGTTTGGAGAGCCTCCCTGCTCCTTCTCCATTGTCTCCTGCCCCAACACTTGCAGAGCTCTGTTTATCAGCAGATGGGCATTAACATGCTATGGAGGGGAGGCATAGACTGCTTTCAACCACCATTGCTGACTTCCACATGGAAAGAGGATGATCTGCATTCATCAACTCCATTAATCACTGGGACCATATTATTAGATAGTACTTTTTTCTGTGCATGACAGACACTAAGGCTATGTCTAGACTGCAGGCTTCTTTCGAAAGAGCCTCTTTCGAAAGCATCTTTCGAAAGAGGCTCTTTCGAAAGAGCGCGTCTAGACTACAATGCGCGGATCAATCCGCCGATCCGCTATTTCGAAAAAGAGCGTCCAGACTGCCGGATGCTCTTTCGAAAATCAAAGCCACCCGGAACTGCTTCTGCCAGGGCATGGGGGCAGCATTTCCTTCCGGGTGCTGCCTGCCTGCCCTTTGCAGAGACGCGTGGTGAGAGGGACACTCCTGAACACCCGTTGCTCTGCTCCTGCAGCTGCCTTTGCTGTCCCTTGAGGAATTTTGCAAGGCATTGCAGTGCTGCTTTGGAGTGCTCAGCTTCCTGGGACACCCCAGCAGCTTTTTTCTTTTGAGGTTTTTCTGCTTGCAGACCCTTATTTGTGGCATGGAGCCAGAGCTGCCCCTGGGCAGGCGAGGCGTGTTTGGAGGTTTGACACCAGCTCTGAATGGTGGGACCGGCTCGTGATGGAGATCTGGGATGACCAAGACTGGCTACGGAACTTCCGCATGAGAAAGACCACGTT